ACGATCGGCCATGCGAAAGCCGAGAGGCGTGAGATCCTCTATCATCAGAAGCATCGGATTTTCATTTTGCATGTATAGACACTTTCCGCTTACGCGGTGCTTTGGTCCTAATAATTTATTCATTTTATCCAAGGTATCTGACATCATCGATATCTCGGTGCGAAAGATTCCTGATTGTATAACCTGTAACAAATTTATTTAATTTCAATATAAATACCTAAATAGAAATAATTTTATTCCAATGTACTCCATTAGCCTATTGGCGTGTTTTTTGCATAACATTATCTTAAAAAGCGGGCCGAGACTTTTCAGCTATATAAGGAATAGTTCCCATTTAATGAATAACTCAATGGTATTAAAATAAAATGTCTTACTTTTCACCAATGTGCCTATAGATTTGGGTATTGAGAGCATCACAAAAAGATTTGATTGTAAAAAATCCTACTATCTTTTATAAAGAATTTTTAATAGTTGTAAAAACGATGTTAAATTCTATTTACTTTACGTTTAATAATACCTATTGTAAACAAATTTACTCTAATAAGCTCTCCTTTGTTGTTCACTATCGTTTAGTAATACAGGACTTCGAAACGGTTGATAGATTCCTAGCGATAGCTTTCAGGTAACATTATATTTTAGATATTTCGATGACATTTTGTCTAGCTGCATCCATAACAGATTGGATGATATTCTTAAAACTTAATTCACTACACGAACGTTACAATTCACTATTGAAACCGAAAAGAATAAATTTTTTAGATATTTATCTGATAAGCAAAAGTGATGGGATCATTTGTGATTTATATCGTAAACCTATTTTTTTCGTAGGTATAGGGAAGAGTGGGCATAAAATAGTCATATTTTGAAAGAGACATTTCGTATTTCAACTAATTGAATGTAGCTAAAAATGTTAAAACATATAATACATTTATTTTACAGCAACACTAAAACTACAACATCTACCTATAGGCATTTAACAATGAACGCCAAAACAGCGCTGTTGTAATGAGAGATGAAAGATTATTAATTATGACGAAAAGTGAAATAAATTGTATATCTTTTGAATTTATTTATGATTAGCTTTTAGAAAAAATATTTTTTAAATCAAATGCTGTACACATTAACTTAACTAAAAACATAATTATACCAATTATTTTGCTTTTTTTTACCAGATATTTTATGATTAAATTTTTGACATTATATATAATGTTATGAAAGAGCCGATAGCCGATAGATATTGATGTGATAACTATGGAGATCGTTAGTAGAGCGAAATGCAATGCGCCTCCGGGTGCTTCGGAGAACGCGTTGCGTTTCAACCCACGAGATCGTTGATGCAGATATTCTTCTTCTCTGTCGCAATTAGAGAATTACTTTTCGCTCGCTTTTATTCGTGTCTCCACGCGCATTCGAGGCGGATACGCCGAAATTATTGTATGTAGAATTTAAGTAAAGTTATTTCGTACTTTTATTCAGATATTTACAAATATGTTGCTTTTAAGTGCGTGTGCGCGCACGCGCGTGTGTGTGTGAATTTATGCACAAGTTTGATGTGTGGTAATTATGTTTGAATTATTTAAGAGGCCTGGAAAGGGCCCTTTGTGAGTTGTTGGCTGACTGCGTAGCCCGTTCGCTCCACGAGATTCGCGGAAGTGTCGTTGTAAATTGCCTCGGTTTGAAAGTCTTCTCGGGCGTCGGAGTTTGTGTTGCTTCGTCGTAATCGTAAACCTCTCTAGTCTGCGATGCAGCCTCGGTCTTGGCGGTTTACTCTCCGAGAACTCGGTCTGCGTGGATACGCTGAGACTTCGATACGGCTCCCAGTCCGTAGGCGGCAGCGGTGGTATGAGATCTGGCACTTGCAGAGATCTTACAATCTGCTCGATCCACTTGAATGAAGTCGGTCGACGCTGGCGTGGATCTCGTTCGCTGAGTATGAGCTTAGGCGGTCTTGTTGTCACAACGGGTTCTAGGTCGAGCGATATGAGTCGCCAAACGTCGTCCTTTACCGACATTATCTCAGCTGATTTTTCAGCCGCATGTTCGATAGTCTTTCGCCGTGACGAGCTTAATTTCTGTGGCCTGATGGCTTTCCTTGTGGGAATAGCGGCATCTTGGGCGAGGCCTCGATAAGCTGTTGTTGGCGGCAGCGTGACGGCAATTATCAACTCTTTCTTTTCAAAACAGACTCAGCTTGCTCGGACGATCAAATCGTAATCCACGACATTGTGTCTCGAGGGAGAATCTGGTCTGACAAATTTGTGGAAAGTTGGCTTACTTATTATGTCCGCAAACTATTTTTGTGTACGCAAAAGTAATAATTTTCTGGCCTCCTGTCGGATAATTATAAAAATTGTTTGTTTTTCTTCAAAGGGGCTCGCGAGAAAGTGGTCTGGCGAGCGCTCGCGGGAAAGCGCGCTGTATGCCGGGTGGCCGTAGTACAGGCGTTTGGCCGTAAAAATGTCGCGTGTGCCGCGCGCGCGCGCGATTATGTGGCGCAGTCATACCACAATAACTATGAAAAAGTAAGCTCTTTCTTTGCCACTTCATCTGGCTTCTTTGTTGCACACCTATTGCAAATAATTTTTTAAGTAATTCTGTATTATAAAACGGCATTCTTTACAAGATTATAACTCTATAGGTTATATTAATGCTAGCATTATTGACACAGTTTCCGTATCTCATTCTTTTTAAATTTGATTCAAAATGTCTTTAGACAATATCAAAGATAAGCAAAAAAAAAAGAAAGTGATCTTTATTGCTGCTGTCATACAGGAAGCTCTGTTAATGAAATTAATGGTGGCTTTTTCAAAACCACGTTATATTAAAAAAGCCGAATTCCCTAGATTTAAAAAAAGTTATTAATATTTATTAATGGATTAAATATATATATTTTTTTATTAAATCAATTTTATAGATAATTAAGTACTCTTATGTTGTAAAACAATTTTATTTCCTTAATATTAGGTTAAATATTTTTTTCATATTTTGAAAAAAAAACTTACTCTTTTATACCCACTCTCCTTTATCTAAATTATAATTTCATCCGATTAGTCACAAGAAAGGCATTATTTTTGGGATGGTATTCCATGTTGCCACTTTTCGTGCAAGCCAACTATAATCACGTAATTTTGACGCTAAAAATGAGCGTCGAGTGTCAGCATGAAAAGACATCTTAAGTATTTACCAGATAACTGTATTTATATCTTTTGTTTTTTATTTCTCA